CCCCAAAACCCCAAAACCCCAAAACCCCAAAACCCCTCTAGATCGAATTTATGAATTTTTAGGATAGATTTCTTATAATAAAATTAATAAAAGATGAGAGTGAGTCAGAGGAGAGGCACCGATAAAAATGCCCCAATTAAGGAGAAAGTTTTCAATGATGATTACTTCTTGGATGTTATCAAATCAAAGGGCTTTGGCTATGTATAAAATATAATTTAAACGTAACATTATAATAGGGGAAGAAAGATGTTGGAAATATTGAGATCTTAAATTTGAGGAATTTGACTTATACACTGGAAGATTTGCTGTTCTAGTATGTGGATGCTAGCTCTGAAGATATCTTCCCACTTTTCATTGTCAATCAACTAGTAATTTAGCCTCATATTCCCAGTCCAATAACAATTATGTTTAGCTTTAAAAACATGGTGACTTACAGACAGTTGAGCGCGAACTGCTCAAGATTTGGCATTCAGTTTAGCAGTTGAAGGATCAGGAGATGATAGCTAAGATTTACTAATCCTTCCTCAGCAATTAGTTCAAATCAACTAATATTCAGTTCTATGTGAAGACTTCGAGAGTAATACTGCAGAACATTATCGGAGACAGATATCACGATATGAGTCAGCAGCAGTTGCAATAAGACATGTCCCAGATCTTCATCCCAACTGACAAGATCGTGGATATTGTAGGGAAACTGTTCACCACTAGCTCATTCATTAACATTGAAGGGGACATACCCTAGATAAACCAATCTCAAATCACGGGAAACCTTTTTAATAACCTCAAGATTATATTGCAGGAGGGCAGGAGCATGGTAAATTGCTAAAATCTGCAAATCTAGTGTCTCCTTGAATTCAGAGCCATTGAACATAAGAGCTATTTGGCTCAAATGCAGAGCTACACTAAAAATATGATGTCCTCCAGAAGACAAACTATTATGGGAGGGTAGGCTTTGAAGATCAATTAGAAAATTCTTCAGCAGACCAATACATTCTACAGTTTTGACTAGGTGCTCGGCAACCCTACTTAGAATTAAGCTTAATATGCTATTTAAAGGAAAAAAGTCAATAATGTTGTTGAAATGAACCTCAGAAATAAGATAATAAATGCAGGAGCAGGAACAATGAGCACAAATTAATACAAAAATCCAGATTAAAAAAATGCCATAGACAACTAAGAGCATAATGCTATTATAGAGTCTATACTAAACGGCAGTAAAAAAGCTAAAAGGCAGCTCATTTCAACTCCTCTTTTGAATCCAAAAGAATTGTAGCTCCTGTAGTAACAGCAGTAACAACAATCTGCTCTAATCAATAAAAGTAAAATTGACAAATCACTTATGAATATCTAAGAACTGCAGCCAAGAGCTGGAGCTGTAGCGAATGCGAATCAACAAGTTAATCAGACATTCAATGAAAACTCTGTCAAATTTCAAGCTAATATTAATCAAGGGGCTAACGGAGGATTTAATCAATCTCTACTGCTATTCAATGAAACTTAGCAGATCAACTCAAAGTCAATGGCTTAAAATCACCAATAATCTAATAGTTAGTAACAGCAATAACTGGCTACATACAATGCGTATCAAATCAAAAAGATGTTTAATCATGAAGAAGCTAGACTTTTAGAGGCGCCTGAAACTAAGCTAAGAGAATTACAACTGAGGGTAAAAGAAGCTGAAAAGGAGAAGTAAGAACTTAAAAGAGAATAGGTAAAGATTATTTAGGAACTCTCAGAACTTAAAAGTGAAAGGTAAAACTTTGGCTAGGATAAGAGATTTATGAAAGAAATCGAGAGTCTCATTAGCAATGCCTATGTGGATATTTAATAGCTAATTGAAGAGAACTTAAAGATGAAAGAACAGCTAAATCAACCCCAAAACACAACTAAGGAGCGTAAACGAAAATTAAAGAATACTTTTGACTTACTTTTCTAAGTATTGAGCATGAAGCAAACCAATACTGTCTAGAGCAATAACCAAGTGGGCACAGATAAAATGTTTTATTAATCTAATCAACAAACTGAGAGTCTCTCACCAATTAAAAACACATCGTTTGACTCTCAGCATAAATCATCTCCTTAATAGCATTAATACCAGAATCAATCTACTCTTCACGGACATAATAATAATGCATCATCAAATAACTATAAAGTCCTTAAGTTCAATAACTTTGCACATTCAGAGAGATCAAGCATAGAATAAAGCTCTGTTAGTCTAGCTACCAATCCTATCAATATTGGTATGACTAATATGTAAAATAACTAGCTTTAGCCAGATAGTTTCACAACGCTTCTTATGAATTTTTAGACAAGGCCAATTTAAAAAATGACAGATTTTTTCAGTAAAAAGTTAACTAATGATCCTATTAACAATAATGGAAATAAGAACTTTAACAAACCACCTGAACTGCCGCCTAGAGATGATTTCGATGAGGACAGAGATGATGATGATTCAAGTGAGCTTGACAGAGAAGAGGTGAGAGATAAAGTTCATAGTAGATCTAATCTAAAATTAATGGATTAGTAGCAGATGAATTTAGATCAGAAAACTAGAAACTCCTATATAGGAGGCAATCATAATAACCAAAAGAGATATGACTAAAATAGTGTAGATCAGATAGAGGCAAATAATGATCAAGACCTTAGATATCAAATGAGGGGACAGGAATTTTAGAGATCTACTATGCAAGATAATGACTATCTAGATGATGGGTTAATATCTGATCTAGGAAGTGACATTGAAAGTGTGCTCGAAAGAAGTATCAGGGGCAACTTAAAGTAATTGCTTGGCACTTCTATAGATTCCTCAATTAATGGAGATCTAATAGATAAAAATACTAATATGAATAGACTACCAGTGCCTAAGAGTTTATCTTAAAGCATCAAGATTGATGAAAGATTTTTAGCTCAATTCAGCAACCCATAAGTCTTCTATATTTACACGGTATAAATATTATTGTTTAAGTTGATATTCAATATAGGCTTCAGAGGAATTCAAAGCTGAAGAAAAGAGACACCTAAGTTTGTAGAAAAATCAAGTCTTTGTAGGGTTGAAGGATTTCGAGGAGTGGATATTTGGTTGCAAGGAAAATGATCCGAGAGCATTCGGTTTTATTCCTAAGAACTATCTTGACTTCCAAAGAGAGATGAAAAGAAATGATTGATTCCAATATAATTATGAGATTTTAAAATCATTAAGTAATCGAAACAAAAGCGAAAATTTCATGAATTCTTGTTTTTATTTTAAGTCATCAGTTTTAATCTTGATTTCATAATTAATAATCAAAAACTATTTCATCACTCTTTTACTCGCCATTCAAAATAAACTTGAAAGCGTCCTAAATTTACTCATCAAGCCAAGCTTCAACTACTAAATTGCCTTGAATCTTTTTATGCTCACCCAATCCTTTTTGTATTTGCTTAGCTCTTTCGACTACGCGTTTATTCATCCGTGTTCTCTCTGCACACTGAAAAGGTTACAAAAACCTTCCTATCTTTTCATTCATTATGCGACACTCCTTAGCCTCTTTATTATCTTCGTCTATCACTAATAACTTGAAGTTAGGAAACTTCGAAAGATTTTCCACTAAAGGTTTTTAATCGAAAAGTTCTACCATATTTGTGCTAAAAAATGTGGTTGGTAGATTCTTAATCTTGTTATCTAAGGTTTTCACTTATTTGAACATTTTTAAATCTGTTAGTATCTCAATCAAAGTGAGCAATGAACTCATTCCAGTGAAATGATTTGTGCCACGGCCATATTCATCAATCAAAAGCAAGGTATTTCCATCGCTGTCATCTATAATCTATTTCATCATTAGTGCTTCGTTAAAGAAGAAACTATACTGAAATTTTGTGTTATCTTCAGAAACGCGGATCTTTGTCAAGACCTTATCAAATACAATTAACTCTGCCTCTTCACAAGGAACATACATACCAATCTAAGCTAGGTAAATGACACTTCCGAGATTCTTTAAAAAGACGCTCTTCCCTGAACCATTTTGTCCACAAACTATTGTGATGGTTCCTCAATCAAAGATAAAATCCTAGTTTAGATATATATTTTTCTTCCACTCAACTAACAAATTTCTTGCTTGCTTTATCTTAATCTGATTTTTACTTTAAACAAACGCTGGTGGGATCAATTTAAATTCGATTACAGTCATGTACGCAGCAACATAGGCATCAAGTACACTCATAAACTAATTAATTAGCATAAGCTACTTTTAATAATCAATAATCTCCTATTGCACAGAGGATATAATGCAAAATTCAACATTTTAAATGTCTGTAAATATATCTCCTATATCTCTGTCCAGCGAGTAAGTGACCGAATTCTGAAAGTATACCTCAGTCTCTGTGATGAAAGAAAGCACCCATCCCTTACTACTCAAAATATCCTTCATTGTGTGATTCAGTAGCTAATCTTCTTGTGTAAATTCGTATTAATCTCGTAGAAGTCAAGCTTATTCCTCAATATACGTTATATACTCTTCGTTGCACTTACTGATTGAAGTGAAATAACCACAAGAGGGAATCATCATTATTCTCAGCTAATGCATGAATTCAGGCATGTCCCTAACATCATCGACTAGGTCGTAGGTCTTTTGCTCCATCAATTCGTCTAGTTAGTCATATATAACCCATAGTGAATCGAGTTCTTTAAACATTCCTCTTTTGACATAGATGCCATTATTATCGTATTCCAAACCATTATTGATGACTCTTATAAGTTCATTAATCTGATCTAAATCTATTACATCAAGAGCATCTACTAATTCGCAGTTTTGAATCTCTTAGTCTTGATCTAAATGACTCATCAAGTTCCTTAATAAATAATGCATTTCTTTGAAAACACAGATACTTTTAACTAAGTCTGTCAGTCCTTTGCCTCTCAAGACTCTTTCTCAATACCATTTTCTCATAATTACTCCAATGTCTCTGAATCTCTTTAGCAAATTCTAGATCTCAATGTACAAACTAACATAGCCATCCTCTGGCAGCTGATTGCCTACTCCTTTAGACTTGTAAATCTCGTCTAATTTTTGGATAAGAGCAATTGACCTCTGCCTATGCAGGATCATGTTTAAATTCTTAAGTGGAGTCTTAAATAGATGTCGAAGGTACTTTCTTCCACTTATGGTTTTTGTGAATTCATATATATTCCAAAGGGAGAAGCCTTCTTTAGGTATTAAATTTTAAATATACTACGAAGGATGAACTTAGGGCTGGAAGATATTTAGGTCTCTAAAGAAATACTTAGTCACTTTTAGTGAATCCTCTTCTTTAGGCTGAATGAATTTGTTTTTTAAATTTTCATAATTGTGACGATCTAGGGTATCAGAAATTGATTCTTCATCTAATTCATCTAGATCATTATTTACTTGAATGTCTTTTCCATCTTAGATTGGTGGGTCTTCATTCGATTTGATATCTTTGTTTTACTAATAATTTGCTTCAGTGCAATTTTATTTTTTCATTAATTAATTTACATACTTTATAATTCCAACTCTAATTTAGCATATCTTGTATATCGGGGTTTTGGGGTTTTGGGGTTTTGGGGTTTTGGGG